GGCCTCTGTGGAGGGATGGACAAATCTGCCTTGTAAATTTTGGGCACATCTTGTGTTTCTTAAATGACAGCAGACGACCATCAGACTCTTGTTCTGAGCCCCCGGTTCAGCTCTGTGTTCTAGTACACAGGCCACAGCCCAGACGAGGGTCCACACACCCAGGAAATCAGGAAGGCGGGGCCCCGAGGACTACCACCAGGAACCAACACCAGGAAGAGACAAGAGGGTTTCCAACTGTAAACCTTCACAGGAGTGGACAGCTGCACCTTTCTCCCGGTGAGTGGCTGGCGGCTGGCAGCCTAACCCTAGCCCACAGCGCCTCAAGGGCTCCTTGTCTGGGCCTCTAGTGCTTACACTGGGCCCTCAGTAACCATCTGTGGAAAGAGGAAGGGGAGTGAAAATCCGTTTAACTTCTCAGACATTAGCTCAAGGTCTGCACTGGGTACCACGGTTGGTCACTTCTGTTTATGTGCCACATGAAGAGATTGTGACGGGGCACATTTCCATGCCAGTACTGTCAGGCACTTCATTCATGCCCAGGGGACCCCGCATGTGTGTGGGCAGAGTGCCCGTCCTAGCAGTGGAGAGCTAAAGGGCAGTGCAAGGCCTCGTGGATACACACCCCAAGTCTTCCTAATTCCTGCTCAGGCTCTGTACTGTGCAGACCTGCAGACACCCAGCTGGGGGAAGAGCAAGAGCGGAGAGCCGGGAATGGGCCTTGTCCACTGTAGCCACCCTGGCAGGCAAGGAGGTCACCAGGGAGACTTCTGCTGAGTGTTCTGATGTAAACATGTCAACAGTTTGGTCTGAAATCCAGATCTCATCCTTCTTCCAGACATTTAGAAAATGATTCCACACCCAATATGGCACAAATTCCAATCCCACCCACCGCAGCTATATCCACAGGGGAAGGAATGACTGACAGACAGCTCAGCCCTCTCCGCAGGGAGAAAGACAAATGAATCACCAGTTGTCAACACACAACCAGTACGCAACTGCTCGTCTGCAATGTCGGATGGAACCTGGAGCATCTGCAAATGCCACCCCCATGACCACCCTCCCCCAGGACGGGCCCCTCCTGCCCTCCTGGACAATCTACCGGAAGCTGAGTGGAAAGGTCTGCTCTCCTGTGAGCCTCACAAGCGAGAAGAGAAAGGAAGACCACGTACCACTCATGTCTCTAACATGCAGGAAACGGGTGGTGTGTCTCTGTGTCCCACCAAGGTGACCGTGTGTTAACAGGCCTGGAATCACCCGACATCTATTACCTGAGAAACTGTCGCATTTCCACTGTCTGCAGGTGTCAGGTGCACCCCTGAGGTGGCCAGCGTGGCCAGCCAGCCTGTGCACACGCCTTTCCGCAAGACCACCGCTGGGGTGTACGACAGGAACTCCACAACATTAAAAACGAAATGAAGCCTTCCTGGGTGCCACAGACTGGAGCTGCAAAGACACCGAGAGAACACTTCAAGTCAGGACCCAGACTTGAACACAGATCACAATCATCTCCGTCCTCCTCACTGCTGTCAGGGAGTGCTCCTCCTGAGCTCCAGAAGAACCAGTGCTCCCACTGGGGAACAGCGTGCCGGGAGGAGCCAGGAAGAGGCAGGCCTTGGAGGCAACACAGCTTAGGGGGGAGACCAGTGAGCTTTACAGTGAAGCAAGTCACTCACATGACTGTGACTTCCTAGTGCACACAAGCGTTGACACAAGGTTGTAGACTCAGAGGGGAGCAACAGCTACAAACACCTGAAATGAGAGAATGCCAAAAGGGGACAGGCACGAGGTAGGCGCCCCCTGCTGGAACGAGGCTCGATGTAGGGCTGCCACCGCCTCAATGTGCCGGAGACGCACTCCGGAAGTGCAGTACAATGAGGAACGTGACAGAGTGAAGGTGTGACGGTGTAGGTGTAACGGGGTCTAACAGTGTGACACTGTGTGACAGTGATGGTGGTGATGGTGTAGGTGTGACAGGGTCTAACGGTGTGACTCTGTGTGACAGTGAAGGCGGTGACAGTGTAGCTGTGACAGGGTCTAATGGTGTGACACTGTGTGACAGTGAAGGCAGTGACGGTGTAGGTGTGACAGGGTCTAACGGTGTGACTCTGTGTGACAGTGAAGGCAGTGACAGTGTAGGTGTGACAGGGTCTAACGGTGTGACACTGTGTGACAGTGAAGGCAGTGACGGTGTAGGTGTGACAGGGTCTAACGGTGTGACACTGTGACAGTGAAGGTGGTGACGGTGTAGGTGTGACAGGGTCTAACGGTGTGACACTATGTGGCACTGAAGGTGGTGACGGTGTAGGTGTGACGGGGTCTAACGGAGTGACACTGTGTGACAGTGAAGGTGGTGACAGTGTAGGTGTGACGGGGTGTGTGACTCTGTGTGACAGTAAAGGCGGTGACAGTGTAGGTGTGACAGGGTCTAACGGTGTGACACTGTGTGATAGTGAAGGTGGTGATGGTGTAGGTGTGACAGGGTCTAACAGTGTGACTCTGTGTGACAGTGAAGGTGGTGACAGTGTAGGTGTGACAGGGTCTAACAGTGTGACACTGTG